GAATAATTTTATAACGTGGTTGGAAACGGGGGACCCGTATATTTACACATGCATAAGGAGCATCATGGTCACTTACTGTTGGGCTTGGCAGAACGGATGTATGAGTTACACGATGAGGCATGTTAGTTATGATGTGATCGATTAATGATTTAGACTTGGGAGTTACACGAGTGGGAATTTGGACTAGTTGATGAAGATTGAGAGACTCTAGCATGTCAGTGTATTGTTTGACCATGGCCTTTTCTGTTTTTAACAAGTCAACGTTAAAGTCTCCAGTTATGTACAGCATACCATCCCAGTTAATTGACAAATGACTGAAGAGGTTTTCAGTTTTGCTAAGCCATGCCTGGTAGTCCTGCATTCGTTCGGAACGATACATAACTCCTAGTAGCAACTTGCTGTGCTTATTGCGACCACTAATCTCAAGCCATATGTGTTCCAGTTCAGGTTCGATAGCCTCAATATCAGTTCTTCTCTTGAATTTAAGAGATTCTCTAATGTACACGCCAACTCCTCCGCCACGGATGCTATCACGATTGCGGTATAAAATTGAATACCCAGGAATGGTTACAAAATTTAACAAGTGTGGATTATTCTTCAGCCAAGTTTCGCTCATCGCTACAACATCAAAAGGATACTCTTTGATTATAGCCAAAAGCTCATCAAAGGTAGATAGCATACTCTGTGTGTTCAAATGTAAGACTTTAAGTTGGTTAGGCCTGTTATTAAGCTCTTCATGTTGATTTACGTAATGCATTCCAGCTGTAACATTCATCGAAGTATTTATGTTTTCACTCGAAGAATCCAAGCTGCTATCAAGATCGTTTCGATGAAATGGCAGTTCCGTGAATAGGCATTTTGTACATGTCCATTCTCTGGGCTTGGAGGCTTTGACGTTCTTTAAGTCGACAGGAACATCGATGCATTTTGCGTGATGCAAATCAAGGCAGCTATTGCAGATAAAACGTTTGTGGTTGGTTTGTACGCGTTTCAGACATTTGGGGCAAGGTGTAGATTTTGATACCTTCCTAAGTTTTGAAGTGACAGGTTGAACAGGACCGKGATTGGTTTGGATGTCTCCACTTTGTAGTAACACACCAAAGGAGATGCAAAGAGCTGACAAATATGAGCAACAATGACCATTTCTGGGATTCCTGTGGACAAGAGCTGTACGATAAAGCGAGAGATGTGAGGTATTAGATTCAGAAGTAGGACCAGGTATTTTCCAAAGTAGATAGGATGTATATTGGTTCCATAACCATTTGCAGCCATATTGTAACGATATTGAACAGCGAGACTGGAGAGATTTAGTGGAAAGTGAATAATTCGCTTGATTGCTTCGAGTGTCGTACACATTGTTAGAAGGTGATGGTGAAGAAAGACTCCATTGTATCCCGGTCTTGTAATTTATGCAAATCGGTTTAGGTCCTCTCAGTAGTCCACAGTAGAAAATATTCTCATATTTGAGGCTATGCACTGTCGAAGAAACTTTACTTGCTACAAAGGATTGACTTTGAAGTATTCTTGGATGTTGTGGTTCAGTAGTAGCTTCCCTGTGGTATTGATGAAGTAGGCAAAAACACAGAAAAATGTGGAGCCAAAAGACGCGTGAACTCGTCATTGATATKAATATCTTCTTCCTCGATCGACAGCTAACTTCTTTATTCGTTGGAAAAGTTATATAATACTGCAATATAGTACTAAGCATGCTATGATTTCGATGGAGTTRGACCTGGTCARATAWAAMGTTAAATTGTAGTTTGTATATCACATGACACATGCGATACGACACGTTGAACTKACATATACTGCTAAATTCTAATTGAAAGATAAAGCGGTTTTTTGGAACTTATTTTAATGATTATTATTAAATTGTAGTAGTCATAAGACAATATTAATTATCGTGTAAATGCAATGAGACGTAGTACAAAATACAGGGTCTGGGGCGGATCCAAAATTTTATTCAGGGAGTTTTCCAGGAAACTTAGAGAGAAGGTGTACTCCACAAAAACGATCACAAAAGAGACAAAAAATATACTAAAGAAAGTATTGAAGATTGCAAGGTCTCAGGAGGGAGGCGTACCCCCTGAATTATAACCCACCAGCTGGATCCCCCCTTGAAAAAATATATGCATCTTCACAAAATGCATATGATAAAATTAAAATCATGTATACTAGACATTATATTCATTTATCAGCATTTACTAAGAAGGTATCTATAACACAAAGTTAGCCCTCTATAGACTGGTTTTTACTGGATTGTGAAATAATATAGCCAATGGAAAGCCGTTTAAAAGACTTTCTTGCATTAGAATATGACTAGTAGGATATTCTTAGTCATTCAATAAACAGACGGGACTGGCAGTAATTATTTCTTAGATTAATGAAAACCACTGTAGTTCAACCAACAGACGGGCTAATAAGATGTTTATAGGTACTTATTACAAGCATTAGA